TGTAGCAGTGTTTCAACTCATTTCGTCGGCAGCTGGTAAGAAATTTCTAACCGAAGACATAATAATATAACCCGAGAGTTCTTCAGATATCAGTTGGTCATAATCACGTCCTATAATCCATCAAATAATTTTGCTCCTCGAATCTCAGATTTCCCCGAACGTTGCTCTGGGAAAACCGTTCGCACGTCGGAACAGATAATGTCCGCTGGATAATATCCGTGCATATTTTCGCGCCCAGTGGAGGCCATTGTTTATATATCCAACAAGCACGAAGGCGTAATATCGTTCCCAGGGTCATCTCTCTTCCACCCACGAGATCCTAGAATTCGGAAGATTGCAACAAAGACATATCGAGGGAGAGGTTCATGCGCCGAAGTTTTATCAATACCAACTGAATTGCATAAATGACAAAATTAAGTTGAGCATCCACCCTCCCTACAGCGTTTTGTTTTTCTTCTGCATAGGCACATGAACAGCCGCTATAAGGGTTCTTCCTCAAGACCGGAGGATAGAGGACCCTGGCAAAGAAGTTGGCATGGGCGAAATAACTTTTTTTTTCTCAATTTAAAGACGCTCATAAAATAATGNCTTTGTATTATTTTCCCTGTTGTCCTTGTCTTAGCAGTTTACAAACTAGAATTCTTCAAGATCAATAGTGGTCTTTCTTTTGGGCGGATGTTTACAATAGATTATTGGTATTCGGTCAGTCAAATGGTTTTAATTTTTCTTAAAACTGAAAAGGGAAGCAGTAGCTTTAATTTCCCTTAATCCTGCTTTTTTATTGCTGTGAAATTTTAACGTTTCCAATATCTCTCCAGACCTTTCACGCCTCTTCAGCCGGTGGTAACATCACTACATTCCATAGCCTAACAACGGCCGTAACTGCGACACATCTGCGGTTTAAGCCAGTTTCCAACGACATATGCCTAAGAGTGGAGATTTATGCCGTACCAGGTATGTTTCACGGCGATATCATCTTGATGATAATGATATTTAAAAGGTTGTATTTGAAACATCTGGGGAACAAAATAGCCCATTCAAGACTCTCCGTAAGTAGAGATGAGCGCAAGACGAGCACAACACTGAGAAGACTGGTGACAATGTCGAACACGACGGGAGAAACTGTGGCCAGTGCAGCCGGTTGTTAAGTGGCGGTCGTCATGAAAGGAAGACTGGAAAAGAGGTTTCAGGAATCATCATATTTCTCGCTACTCATTTAAAAATATTGCAAGTGACGTCATGTCAAGGTTTATATCACCCGGCTACGCTGTTCAGTTAAGATCACGTGAACACCATACTTACGGCTTCGATGCTTTAGGTTTTGTGGCTTGACTATTTCATCGAGTGACATTAAAATAAAATTGAATTAAACACAAAGATCAATCAGAAGAACTAAAGGATCAATGAGAATTAAAACATGACGTAATGACGTGCGGGACTGGATGC